GTGTCTTACTATTTCAAATTCTGTATCATCCTATGACTCTACCTGCTGTTGTTATTGAGGGAAATCTGTGCCACTTCACTAAGGTTGGGGTTTAGTGTTCACTGAGGATCAGCAGTGGCTTCTTATGCTTGAGATGGGGAAGCGTCCTGCCTGGCTGATTACAACAAACCAGATGATGTAGGTTTTTTCCATTTGGGCTCATTGTTGGCCTTCAGTTTAAAAATACATGTTTACAGTATTTTGCATAGGCCATCCAAGTTTTCAGTAACATTTGTTTTTTGCAATGTTTGCCATTCATGAAATGGTAATTCCAAGGATATCCCTAAATGCCTGGCAAAGCATTTGAATGGATTGCATCAGTCATTGTGGAAGATTTCCCATTTTAGACCAGGAGGAATTTGTGGGGTCAAACGACGAACAATGAAAGAGATTCTTGCTCATTGCAAGGCCAGACTAACCCAGTGGCAGTTGAGGGTTTGAACTGTAAATCGAGCCTGTCAGCCCCTTGTCAACTACGAAAAGCCTCTACTCATTTTATGCACTATTAGAGTTTGTTATTAGGGTTCTGTGTTGTTTTCCAAAAATTTGAAGGGAAATTAGACTCATGAGGCACTTAAGTGAATCTGAACTTTGGAAAAGGGGAACAAAAAATAGTACTATTTAGAAACTTTTAAATGATTGAAGTCGGCCACAGTTATGACTCTATCTAACCAGAGTTATGGGTTCACTCAGTGTCTGTCAAAGGGCACCCAGCGGGGCCAGAAGCAGCTGCGCATGGCTGATAGACTGGACTTCAGTGGTTTCAATGCCTATGGCAATATTAATAGACTGAATTTATCATGAATTAATGCATCTACATATGAAATTTAATAAAAACTAGCTTTAACTCATTGTTTTCACCCAAAAGCAACTTTGATTTTTTTGTCCCCACATTAAATCTAGTGAAATTTCTTTTCTGGCCTTAACGGGGAACAGGTGGAATGAGGCCTGCACAACCTCTTGCCTCGCTGAACACTTGGTTCAAGGCCAAAAAGCTTGAGAACCACTGCCCTGGGAGTAGAGAAAAGGCAAGATGTTTGGGATGGTTTATTGTGATGATTCAGGATTCATTATCCACTCCACAAATATTTATTGAACGCCTACTATGTCAGCTCTATGCAGTGTTGCCTGGGGTCTGGCGATTGCCAAACACGACTTGGTTCATTAAAACAGCCCAGCTAGTAAAACAACCGAATGGGAAATGAGAGGATGAGGCCCGACTTCTGAGGCCCAAATGCAGAACAGCCTGGCTAAAATCACATCTGAGTAATTTGCCCCCGCTTGATGGATGATAAAAGAATATACGCAGGGCTTTAGTAGGAGTCTGTTTGAGAGAATAATTATTGCAATATGTGCTAGAAAGGAACCATAATAATAGACCATAAAAATGGCTCTTGACTAATACATCAGGCCAGATCATTCCAGTTGATAAAGATACTGGCGCCTGCCTGGTAGAGTGGCACCATTTAGTAAAACTGCTACAAACACCCACACAAAAAGGAATGAGCAAGGGTGTGCTGTTTGCAGAGGCCTCATGTGGGAACTGTGGAGCATCAAAATAAAGCACTTGAGGTTCACGCACTTATATACACACCCACTCAGACCTTATTAATCTCTTAAAACGTATTCTATTTTAGCAAATGCCACTTTACCTTAAGACTTCTATTTCAATGCCGTGTTGCCAAAACATTTGGTCCATGGACTAAATCTGTGAAATAAATTGATGCAGATTCATTTATGTTTAAAAAGTAAAATAATACAATGACAGGTAAGCATATCGATGACTGAACTCTAAACTGTCTGATGGCAAACTCTCTGTTTCTCTGATTGATCATATTCCTCTAAATGCAACATCTACAAAGGCTCAGGAAGACAAAATAAATCTATGTGGCTGGTATCAGGCTAAGTGAAATAAGCCAGACAGAAAAAGTTAAGAATTATATGATTTCACTCCTATGTGGGACATAGAACTGAAAGCAACAAATGAACAAACAAGAAAAACAAACAAAAACTCATAGACACAGACAACAGTGTGATGGTTATCAGAGGCAAGGAGGACGAGGGGGTGGTAAAGAGTAAAGGGGGTCAAATAATATGGTGATGGGAGATTTCAGTTTGGGTGGTGGGCACACAATGCAATATACAGATGATATATTATAGAATTGTACATGTGAAGCCTATATAATTTTATTAACCAATGTCACACCAATAAATTTAATTTAAAAATCTATATGGCTAGAACTTGTTCTGCCATCAAAATATAATTCCATGGTATTTGCTGCAGCTCATAGACAAATTGCAAATAATTAATACAAGGTAGCTAATATTGGCATTAAACAGAATTGCTAAATTATTATGATTATGGGCTGTAATTTATGGGAAACGTCAGCATTTCGATGGACTAGGATTTGGAAGAGAATTGCGATTATGGTAGAAAAGTACTTTCTTTTCACACTTATGAGGCAGGGCTGAGTCAATCTCTCTTCTCACTTTGACATGTTGATGAATCTCTAACCATCAGCAGTAGCAGTTTCAGTCGACCATTTCTGTTAGTTGGACATTAATCTAATTGTTACCATTAATTACTACTTTTAGCTGTAGGCTGTAAGTGTATTCATATTGAACTTTCCCATTTTTACTGTCATGTAATCTTACTATTGGTTAGTCATATTACTAATATTGGCATTCTTTGGCTACTTTGGCAACTAAAGCTCTTATGCGGTACCCAAGACTCACCGTATAGCAAATTCTCTTTTATAAATAAGATATAGTTAAGATTAAAGTGAGTTTCCAGTAGCACTTCTTCCTGCAAAACCTTCTTCCACTCTCAGAAACACACATTTAAGTGCACAGAACTTTCTCCATGATACAGGCCCCCCTACTGATTGGTGGAACGCAGGAATGAAGGAGTTGAAGACTGATATTCATACCCCTGTTGTAAGGAGGAGAAACTAAGGCCTGAAGCAATTAAGCGGCCTGGGACTGATCAGGCAGATCCTGACCACAGAGACAGAAAAGTCCCAGGAAAGCATTTCTAAAAATTTACTAGAAAAACAAGGTATACTTAATTAATGGATAACCCAATTACTCTTGTTTAGTCTATCTTGGATCAAAATCATTTCTTTTCAGCTTTAAAGTCACCGTTTATTTTGCGGCTTACAAGTTATCAGCATTTACAGAGGCGAGGAGGCATGTTTTCATAGCAAGTGATGGCAAAATTAAATGACTAATGAGATATGAAAAGTTATTTTAATTGTTCATGACTTTTCTCAGACAGGGGCAACTAAAAGCTTCTACAGATATTTGTGTGTGTGTGTGTGTGTGTGTGTGTGTGTGTGTGTGTGTGTTTTGTTCTTCTAACTATAACAGAGTAGAAGAATTTAAACAATAGGACCGACACAGGAAAGCTGGAAAGTTATGCGAAGTCACGGTGTTGACAGCTGACCAACGCGGGGCATAACTAACGGAGACTGGAAAAGGCATTGCTTCGTGAAAATTGTACAACGAGGAGAAATAGTGATGTGAAGAGGGTTTACATTTTTAAATTTGTTTTGTTTTTTTAATAACTAGCAGTGTTAAGGCAAGTTTTTTGTTGTTGTTGTTGTTGTTTTTACTTTGTGTATCATAAAAGCCAAAGCATGCATTTCCCAAGGAGTATATGTGAAATATATTGTGTTTGGGGGAAGGGTATAATGACAAACAAATTAGAACTGGTTTTTTTTTTTTCTTTTTGCAAGATAAAGTTTCCTTGTGTGACTACTACATGAGTTGAAGCAGAGCTCCCTCTTTCAGGGGCGAAGGTGACTTGGGACTATTTTGGAATCACTTACAAGTAGCATTTTAAAGAAGCAAATTGCTTCCTGTGCTCAGAGACAAAGCAGTAGGTTTTAGTCCGACAATAAAGCCATGTAGCTTACATAAACTCAATGTTCAAGTTGGCAAAAAGTATGATTTAGGAAATGATTTAAATTGTGTAACAAATGTGCAGAGTATTTTTTATGATTTTAAAAAATTAGGATACTGTATGTATATATCGGTAACGACAAAACCATATATAGTGTACTTTTATGAACTTTTGGGAGGGTTTGCAAAGGTAATTTTGATTAAGTTCAATTTTTGCCTGATGAACTTACCTTAGAACCTAACCCCTACGTAAGAAAAGACCACACTGTAATTTAACGTATGTCTGAGATCCTAACACAGGTTTCTTACTGCAAAGCTACCTTATTCCAGGTAACTTATCTACGTCACACGGGCCGTAGCCTTAATCTAATATTCATTCCAAACCAGCCTATAAAACCAAATTAACAAAATAGCCAAGGTAATATATTTTTTCATGTTCTGATTTATCCCTCCATGTCTTGGATAATTTTTGCTAAAGCATCATCGAATGCCTGAGGCGAAAGGGGGAGTTTATGCCCATGCCCTTCGCCGAGGCCCTTTGCTAAGCTGGCTACGGGCCTCTTTGTGCCCCTTGGTCAGCCTGCAGCTTGGTGGGTGAGGAGACCGCCAATGACTTATTTGACCTGTTGCACAGGCTGGTCCTCACACTGACGATTGTCCAGTTAGTGCCCCTTCTCTTACTACCTTAAGTAGCCAACCCCAAAGGCCACGTGGGAACTGGCTTTGGAATCTACGCATGCTGGTGGGGTCTTACCTGGTAATAACACATTCCGGGTGGTTTTCCACAGGCAGGATTTTTGCTGCACAAGTCACGGCATTTTTCTTTAAAACACAGTAAATATGCACTTCAGAAACTATAATAGGAATCCGCACAGCAGGAGGCTCATGACCTTCAGCAAGGCAGGACCCGTGTTCGTGTTCATGTTTTTCTCGTCTAATTTGGGAATTGGCATGGAGAGGGGGCTCCACACAATTGCCTTTCTCATGTTTCCCAGGTAGAAGTAGGAGATATTCATGGATTTCTCTTTTCCTTCCTCCCTCTCCCCCTGGCCCTTCAGATTTATGAGGAATCCAAGATGAACTTGGAGCAGGAGAGGCCGTTTGTCTGCAGTGCCCCAGGCTGCTCCCAGGTGAGTGTGGGGGTCTGCTGCTCTGTCTTACGCGGATGTGCTTACCTTCCAAGAGGGCAGCAGCCCTCCTTGGCAGCCATGCCTGCTTTGGGCTTTCCTTCTTCACCGAGGCATCTCCAAAGTCCCTCTCACCACCATCATCGTTGTCATCGTCATTGCTGTTTTTCATTTTGAACCGTTTGAATGACTTCCCTGAAAGCCCCCAAAATCCATTGGCATTGGCCATTTCCACCCAAAACTTTTCCTTGGAAGAAAGCCAGACACATCTTGCCTGCCAGAGGCTCAGGTTAGTTATTGCAGAAAGCGAGGAAGGACAGTGTCTGCTTCTATAACAACCGCTTGAACACTGGCTCTTGGATTACCAGCGAGACGGCTCACTGTCGAGCAGCTGAATTCTATTTTGTCTTGTTGTCCCAATTGAGCGGAAAAAAAACCCTTTATAATTGTTTTAAAACCTACAGTTTTTCTATATATCTAAACTTTAAGAGGGGAAGTTGGCCTATTTGTGTTAGATTAAAGCTCTTTTAGCCTCCGATGGCTCCCATCAAGTGAAATTGTGAGAGTTAGATGAGATACTGCATGTAAAACTGCATGTAGTTTAGTAAAGAGCCTGCACATACTAAGTGCACAGTTAATGCTTGCTGTTGTTACTATTACTGCTGCTCTTTACACTGCTACCATTACACTGGAACCGATCTTTTTGAAGGAAATTAGAAACATCCATCACCTAACATCAGAGTGTTACACATTAGCTTTGGAACTTGATGGTGACTTGTTTTCATACTTGATCCTTTGAGTGTCTTCATGTTCCAGGCATTAGAAAATGACCACGAATGATCACTCTGACACCAACATTTTCAGTCTGTGGGATACAGGACAAGCTCAGAGCGCGGGCGTCTCTCCAACGTGGGTCGTTAAGCTCACTTCCCCTGACGTGCCCACTCTCCTGCCTGTTCACGGGGTGGGGTTGGCCGCACAGCATGGAACGATGTCTGGGAGTCAGATGGGAGGTGGTGCCTACCGAGGGCCCTTCTTCTTACAGCCCCCCTGAGAGTTTGGAGGGCCCAGGAGCCTTCTGGAGGGAAGAGGCCATAGAAATGTGACATGGCATTGCTGGTGCTGCCTGTGGTGCTTCGGCAGGATATCGGCCACTGACTGAGAAACCAGAGTCCTTTGCTTGGCTTCTGGCAGGCTCCAGGGGCTTTGTCTATGAATGCTGAAAAGTAAGAAAGCCTATAAATAAGAAAAGCAGTAGAGAAAATTATTTCAAATTTAAGCTATTTTTCAGAAAACTGGTTTTGGAGGTCATTTTGAAATAGTGAACACTGGGAAAACATAGATAGGTTAATACATATCTGGGAAAAGTTCTGCGAGACCAGCGCTATCCGTTGTGAGTGCAAAAAATTTCCTCACCTAAATCAGGTCAAACCGATTCTCCCCTAGTTTCCTTAGAGAGAAGTCTCAATAGCCAAAGGCAATCAGATAATTTGAGCAGTTTGCTTTGCTTTAGCTGTGAAAATGTGACCTGAAGTTTTATTCAGTTCAAATCACTCAACGAATTTTGGGGAGCTCACTATGCGCACAAGACACTTGTATCCCCGTCCTCACAGAGCTTCTTGTCTAGTCATCAAATTTATAATTGCATAATCAATTAATCAATTAATTTGTCAATTACAAATTCCCATGAAGGAAGAGCACAGGCTGCCTTCAAGAGTAGCACAGGGGGATTTACTTGGGGAGGATAAAGGGGGCCCCTCTATGGAAGGGGCATTTAAAAGAATGGCATCCTCTGGAGATCTAGCAGAGACCAATGAGGGTTCGTATTAAGTTAGGATTCCAGCAGAGTCCAGGGTTGTGAACAACAGGAGAGAAGGGCCTTTTGAGGACGGGCTGTTAGTCACATCTAATATTTAGATAAGTCAGAGAGATGAGAACTGCACAGAGATCATCAGACCACGTGGCAGAATTGCCCAGGCTTGGCATGGTTGACATCTGGGGCTAGGTAATTCTTGGGGTGGCGGTGGCATGGACACTGTGCATTACAGGTTGTGTAGCAGCATCCCTGACCTCTGTCTACCAGCTCCCAGTAGCACTACCCAGTTGCGAGAAACAAAAACCTCTCCAGGCAAGGCTAACCGTCCCAGATTGCCCCAGGCTGAGAACAACTGCTCGATGGTTTGCGTTTTGGCTTTAGCCTTCTTTCTCTTTGGATCCCCTCCTTGCGTGGACCACCGCCTTCTACCTGATGCCCTCCACTGTATTTTACATTTTGCTCTCAGCCATCTTTTCTCCTTCTTGGAATCAGGCAGTGTATAAATAAATAAATGCCACAGACGTGTGGTCACCGGTGTCAGACGCTGCTAGAGCTGGGACAGTGAGAGGCCTGAGCGGAGGCTGTTGGGTTTGGCAGTGGGCGCTTGCCGGCGACCTATGACAGAGGAGGCAGGGTGGGGGCCGGATTGGAAGGGATTGACCAGCGAGTGGGTGGTGAGGAAGTGGAGGTGGCCCGCATAGAGGACTCTTTCAAGAGCACTAGGGAGTGACGGGAAGCAGAGTGATATAATGGTAGCCTGAGAATGAAGCTGCTTGAGAGAAGTTCTTTTTTAAATTAAAGGCTAGCCAGGCTGGATTTAGTCAAGGGCGAGAAGGAGTGAGCTGGCTGGCTGGAAGGACCACAACTGAAGAAGCACCAGTCACAGGAGGAAACGGGGTGCAGAGGATCCTGTGGAGAACAGGGGCGAGCTTATTCCTCTGGGAGAGGACGGAGTAGAAATGGAAGCTGTGAAGTAACATCAGATTCTGAGGTGGAGGTGGTAATAAAGGTTGAAGGGAGTGCATTTTGAATGGCCTTGAACTTCTCACGGAAGGAGCGGGCCATTTCCCTGAGAAGGCTGGGTAGACTGAGGAAAAGTTTAGATGAACACGAGAATTGAGGATTTACATAGTTTCTTGGTTTTAAGGTAAAATTTGAAGGCTCTCCTCTCAATGCCCTGCCAAATTTAAATGTAAATAAAGATGCATCTAAAACTTGATGTCTTTATTGAATGTGGGAGGGCTGCTTTTTCTTGACAAACTGTGATAAAAACATGGGCATCTTTCAGTTGGAGAGGTATTAGCATGTAGTAGTTGCCCAGTGATCCCAAGGGTCTCCTGAGGGAGTCGGTTGTGATCATGGCATTTACTTTAGTGACGTTCCATAGCCTGGGAACCTGCATGGAGAAGAAAGGATGACTGGGAATTGGAAAGGGGAGTAAACATGAGATATCAGTGCTGCATGGAAGGGGATGACGGAAGGATTTTCCTCCCCGTTCTCTCACTGGGAACAAAACAGACTTTGCTCTGTGAGGAATGGCCTATGGTACCAGGGAGCACTTTTTGTGCTATAATTCCTGGAATATTAGCTTTGTCCCAGAAGTAAAGAGAAACAAGCTTCTCTTCCTCTTCCTGATCTAACAAAGTCCAACGTTAATGTCACTGTTCCTTGCCCTCTGCATTAATCATGTTTCAAGTTCCAGTGGCCTCCCTCAGCTCTGTCCCTGTTACAGACTATACATTTTGGTTATTTAATAATTTGCTGCTAGTTTCCTACCAAATTAAAAAAGACATTACAGATGTCCTATATTGTCTCTTTTGCAAAGTAATTATAGTCAATATGAAATATTATGGAATCTATTATTATTTAATAAGTGTTTTAGGTAATATTCTATTTTAGGCTATTATTAAATGAAGATAAAATGTGATTTACAGGTACCAAACGAAGGATATTACTGTGTTTTTTTTTACTATATGTTTTACAGAAAAATCTATAATAAGTCTTTTGAGAGACTAAGAAATTTAACCTATGCCTCTTAACCACACTTGATAGTGTCATGTAGTTGATGCAGCCATCATAAGGTGTTACAGAAGACAAAAAGAATAGATGAACCTGTAGGAAAAAAAAAAAAGAAAAAAACCCATGTGTCATTATAAATCAGACTTTTGTGTATTCAGACATGTGGTATAATTACCATGCTTTGGATATTCTATACTCTTCAATTTATATGATACAAATGACATATAAATAAGTGCTATTAACTTGAAGAACTGCTTTTAGACTATTCCAAAGGATCCAACCCAGTAAAGTCCCTCATTCTTATGGACATACCATACTATTTGCAGAAAAGAGTTCTACCACTGGAGCAATGGTAATTGAAATTTATAATGACTATCTCAAGGGACTGGGAAGTGCTGGAAGATTTTCTAAATTGTCAAAGATTTGGAAGTGTTCAGCAGTTTGTTGTCTTTTGTTGTATTTTCAATTGACTTTGATAAAGCAGATCCTCTGTAAAGTTCAGTTATTAAAACATACCAGCCTGAGTCAGTACAGGCTAGGATCTTCTACAATAACATGTTAGCCAAACAGTTCAATGGCTTAAAACAGCAAAGGCATATTTTATTGCCCAAGCATACATTTGTATTGTAGATTGGCAGGATGTTCTTCATAAAACTTCAGAATTCAGAGATGGTCTTCATAATCCTCCAGAGACGAAGATGATTGAAGGGCCACTATTTCTTATATTGTGAGTCACCTTGTTACAAAGGATGGTGGGGGCAGTGTGTGGATCCCCAGAGGGCCTTGTACCAAGAATTAGATGCTCACATCTAGGTGACATGTCTCTTCAATTCATTACTCAATCGGCAGAACTTGTCATATGGCCCTACACAACCCCAAGAGGCCCAGGAAATACAATCCCACTATGTGACCAGAGGTCAGCTGAAAATATTTGGGGGCAGCATTTTGACAACCATATCATTCTTTGAAAATTAAAAATAAAGTGTTTGTTTACTACACTTACACAGTATAGAATACCAAAACTAATTTGTCACATTTTTATAAATCATATGTATAATTATAAAAAATCAGATAATGAGTATGCAAGGTCTCCATAACAGAAATATGCTATACAAATGCCATGGTGTACACCTGTATGTATGTATTATGTATGTGTGTATGTAATTCTGTTCCAAAGTCTGACATGAATCAAAATTCTTTTCCCACTTCATATATTTTTCTTACTTTTGGTTAATCTATAGATAATGTCTAGCATACTTACTAGACTTTAGGTTTAATTTACACCATTATTTATAACAGTAACTACTAGAGAAAAGTTCCGAATAGTTTTGCAAAACCACAATACTACTCAGGTCTAAATCTACTTTCTTATTTTGGACCTGGTTTTCTCTTATGTATCAGTAGAAATGGGAGAATTACTCTTGTCAGGTGAGTTGTTCTTTGTAATCACAAATAAACATTTGTTTAAACACTCTTTTATTCTTTAAAAGTACCACATATTTCTCTTGTATATTTTATTTTACTACTTTCAGTATTATTTATTTACCTCTTTCTGCTTTATCCTTTAAATAAACACAAATTTAAGGTCTACTATAGATACCAACCTGGTTCCTAAAGAAACATCTAGTGTACTGATGACTCATCACAGTTGTTTATGTTCAAGTCTTTACTATTACGTTTAAGAATAAAAGGCCTTCAAAAGGAATTCCCAGGAAAGGTGTGGGGAATCGGAGAATAGTAGAAGGCAAAGATCTTCTATGTCTTACTAGTATTCAGCCAGATTTTTCTACAACACAGTTAAGGCCCTGGTTGACCATATGGAAATAATGATGCATATATTTGGGTGTAATTCAAAGTACCGTCCCAGCACATTTGCTTACATAAAGTAATTTGTCATTTTACTTACTCCTGTTCTCATACTTTTTCAGAGATAGTTTTTTGTTTTGTCTGTCACATTTGCAATGCTGAATAAATCTTTTTCTATAATAACAAATATGTATCACAAAACTGAATGGCTCCTCTCCCCTCTCCCCTTTTTTATTTGTCTAACAGCGCTTCCCAACAGAGGACCATCTGATGATTCATAGGCACAAGCATGAAATGACTTTGAAGTTTCCTTCAATAAAAACAGACAATATGTTATCAGGTAAGGAGCCATCAGGCAACGAGGCTTTGGGTGATTAGCCATCAATACTTGTTCTACTACTGATGACAGGGTGATTTCCACTAGCAAATTCTGTGCCTTGAAAATATACATTTCTAAGGTACAAAAGAGACTTAAAGGAATGGTAAGCAGAAATGTAATCAGCTAATGTAGTGTTTGCTCAAATAGTAGAAAAGTTGTGACTTCTCATTTGCTGGCATATAAATAATGATGACTCTAGAACTAGGCTCCATGTAACTATTTTTAAAAGCAAGTACCTGTAACTGGGCAACAAATATTAATTGAGCGTCTGTAATGTACACTGCACTGTTCTGAGTGACATGCAAGGTGCAAAAATGGATATGATTCCTCTTCTCAAGGACATCACGAAGTAGTGTGCATGTGAAAACTTGCCTAAAATAGATGACTGTCCATGATGTACAGATGGTCCCCAACTTATAATGGTTCGACCTATGATTTTTTGACCCTGTGATGGTAAGAAAGAGATATTCATTCAAGTAGTAAACAAACTCCTTATTTTGAATCTTTTCCCGGGCTAGCAATGCAGATACAACAGCCTCCTGTGCTGCTGGGCAGAGGCAGTGGGCAGCGGCTCCTGCGCAGCCACGCGATCACGAGGGTCAACAGCTGATGCTCTCGACTAACTGTGCTGTTTGTCAGTGGTTTTGGATACTGTATTTTGTGTTTTTGCATCCTACCATGTCTACAGAATGCTCACTTGTGTCTCCTGCTTCTGGTAAGAGGAAGGCAATGACCCCTGAGATCAGACTCAAGATAGTTGCCCAACTGCAGGCCATGTGCTCTGAGCATGTTTAAGGCAGGCCAGGCTAAGGTCTCACCTTTGGTGAGTTAGGTTTATTATGTGCATTTCTGACTTATGATATTTTCATATTATGATGGGTTTATCTGGATATAACCCTATCATAAGTAAAGGAGCACCTGTATATCAAATGAGTATTGCAAGGAAAACTACTATGCAACTTCAGTAGAAGGAGCTCTCTTTCTGGGCTGAGGTGGTCAGTGAAGGTTCCCTTAAGAAGCAATAAACCCCCATCCCCTTAATTTGGAGATTAAAAGAGCCTAATGCATGGAAGCATAGCAAGTGCTCAGCAAATGTGAGAGGAAATAAAAAGGAATGATTGATCCATCAATTAATTGCCATTCCTTCCCAGTTTGCTGGCGGTATGGTAAATTAAAAAGAGTGCAAGGCCAGGAGTGAGGAAACTTGAACTCTATCTGTCCTGGGCCCTGTCTCCACCAGTCATCTGACCTTGAGCAAGTTAATGAACCCCTATGGGCCTTGGTTTCTTCTTTCACAAAAATGGGAATGATTTTATCTGCCAAGTCGATTTCACAGGCTTACTGTGAAGATTCAGTGAAAGAATGTGAATTAAAGTGGTTCATAAATCCTAGCAGGGCAATCGAAGCATTTCCTGCTACCCTTCGGAGGCTGGAAATATTTCATCTGACCCACTGTCTCCCTGGCATCATGAAAGAGATGAGACCACCGTGCACATGTAATAATGACATTAAAAGAGAAACCGGCCACCCTGGCAGGCCTGGCTATTATAATTTAGCATTTCTATGGCACTTACATTTTACAAGTATTTTATTATCCCTATTATTAGTAAATCCTCTAAGAGTTTGTCAGATTGTTCTTGCAACCCATATTTTACTGGTAGAGGAGGAGGGGCACAGGGAGATGGCGCAGCTTTCTCAAGCTCACCAATCAGGGCAAAGATGAGGGCCCCGATCCTGCAGTCCTGACGCGCTGGCTTGCCGTGGTCACTGTGCTGCCAGGCCCTCCCAATTTATTCAAAAAATCAAACACTCCTGGTGACAGGGCTGTCCACACCGCTCCACAAACCCACCAGTGACTTGTTAATAGTGCAAGTGCATTGTGGTTTGGAAGGCTGTCCAAGTTCAAAGGCATCCTCTTCACTTCCCTCCACCGCCGCACACCACCTACCACCTTTCTCTCAGCCTGTTTGTTTTTACTGAACTAGCGGGCCCTTCAGAAATAGTTTTATCTGAAGTCTAGAAACAGAGATGCGGAACTCATTTGTAAGAATTATAAAAGCCTACAAGGGTTAAGATGGATGACCTGTTCTTTTGTTTTTATCAGCTATTATTTTCTACAGAGTCACCTGTGCTATATAACTTCCTAGTTCAACCGTGAACATAGGTATCCAAGTAGCAAGGCTGCAGACGTTGTAATTCACAGTATTTAAATTTGTAAGTTCTTCCTTTACTTTTCCCAAACACGGTCCCTAAAATAGACTTCATGGTGGTAGGGGAGTGGTAGGCAACTATTAGGGAACGGTAATTATGTGGAGATATTACTAAAACAGTGGTAAATACCAGTGTAGTATCTTGTAGGGCTATTGCTAGTAAGCCCTACAAGAAGTCCCATCTGAAGGTCTGGGAAACTGAAGCTCAAGATGTGTGAACACTTGAATATAATGCCTATCAGCAGGTTTTCGATTAAGTTCTTGCAGCTTTTCAGTTGTTCTTATCAGATCCTTGTTAGTTTGAGGCTGTTGCTGCCAATAGTTGGCCGTGCCAGGTGTAAAAATATTGGGAGAAAAGCCACTCTAATTTTTGTTATGTCAAACTTGGAATAAGAAAATGAAGGGAGAAATAAATGAGATAAAATAGCATGAATAATATATTGGCATATTTTTTCCTGCTCTCTCAGGTTTTATGTTGAAGCTGGTATAAGGCCATTTCATATTCTCTGTAAAATTAAGTGCTAAATGTTCAGACTTGCTACCTGCTCTGCATGTTTGTGGTCTGGTAGAATTTTCTTGCTGGATGGAATACAGCGATATCAGTCCAACTCTGTTACTCTGCATTTAGAGGACATGTCATATGCCAACGGTACCCGCCACAATGAATTGTAGTAGGCTATCTGTACTTTTGCTTTATTATATGTTTTTTTCCTAGGAAAGACTTCAGTATGTATTTCTCTCAAATCTTGTTTGAGTTTTAGCATATTAGAGTGTGTTCACAAATATGACTGAATTTTTTACTTGTCTATAATCCTGATTTATTGAGATTTGAATTTATCAAGAGCTTTGGAATCTACTCTTATTAAAAATAGGTTTATTAAAATTTTATTTCTTAATGTACATAAAGCCTACCTGGTGGCCTCTCATGAAGGTGAATGATCTTATACAGTTTGAAATATACTAATAAAAATAATATAAACCAAATCTTAAATCAGCAAGTATTGCCAGTGCAAAAATTTTCAAGTCCCTCTAGGGCCCTTTTTTTAAAGCAATATTTAATTATACAAAATTTTATTCCAGATGAATTAGGGTTTAAATATATTAAGAGGATAAAGCATAGTAGGTATGTATGTTCATAACTAATTTCAGGATGTCTAGTTAGCTTGTATTTTGGAAAATTATTTCATCTTTTATTAATTACAAATATGAAGTTAGGGAAGTTATTAAGACACCATAGATATACTCTTCAAGGATAAATGTCCAAAAAGCTGTAATATCTGAAATAATTTTATTGCTTTGACACAAAGTCCATGTTATTTAGCCAAGTAAAATTCACTGCTCAGAATGATCTTTGACATGCCACAAGGCAGGATAGTAAAAGTGATAGTCATGTACAGGGTCTGGCACAAATCACACCCCTTTTATATTACAAAGTCTTTTATTACAAAATCATAAGTATGTAATTATGTAACATAACAATATCACACTCAAGCACACCACATGACATTTTAGGTGAAACATTCAAATTGCTGTCCATCTCACGCGAGACATTCACATACCCTACCAACCACACTCAAGCAGGCGTTACTTCTCCTGGACCCTGTATTTACTAAGATGAGCCTGTACTTGTAGATAGACAGTAAACATAAAGACCTTCCATTCCGAAAGGACAGTACTATAGGGACATGAATGCAGGTAGTGGTTTTGGACACTGAGGGCTAAAACTTATAGCCCTTCCCACCTTGATCCTCTCATTCTTATTTGATCCATGTGGTCTATTTCCAGAGCCCTGATATTATGATGGACATGAGTTACTTTCAGCTGTTCTTGGTATGATAGATGATAATATCATGGTGAGGGAAATTGTGATATCAAAGGTTTTTAGATGTCAAATTAAAAAATGGGAATCCATTGGGGACAATATGCTACCACACACAGGTTGCAAAATTACCAGCTACTATGTGATGTAAGATCTGGTTTGGTTTGAAAAAATCAAATTTCGGTATTAAAGGTAAAGAGGATGAGGTTTGGGTCTATTTTAATGGCATTATGGTTAGGCACCCAGAAATTCCCAAATCTCACCCTGTCAGAAATCCTCACCCTTAGTTATTGACAGTGTTTCCAGGCTCTATATAGGTAATCCATGGGCAGCTTTATTTATTGTTGAACAAGCAAATGATATTCCAAATGAGAAATCTGTGTGCATGTGTATATGATATGTGTTGGTGGAATATGGTGGGAAAACTGACTTAGAAGATGATGAGTTTTGCTTCATGGTGGGATTACTAGGCATTTAAAGGCATGGACTCATGGGGCTCTTTCTTAGGCTTCCCATAAGAGGTATTGATTGGGTTTCACATTTTAAGGAAAGATAAAAGTTAACACTCTTGAACTTTACCCATTCATTCATTCATTCATTCAAAAAACTCTTATTGAGTGCCTACAAGGCTCCTGTTGTGTGAGGTGCTGAGAACACTGCAATGAAGAAGACAGATGAGGTCCCTCTTCCGTGGAACTTACTATACTCTGTGGGAAGTGGGGAGGATGAAAAATAATAGACAACTCCCTCCCCAGATACACAAGAAAATAATCCCTTAATGACAAGTGCTGTGATGAAGAAAAAACATGACAATAGAACACAAGTGGCAAGCAGGCTCCTAAGGGAGGTTGGAGAAGGCCTTTCTGCATGAGTGGCATTCAGCCAAGACCTGATGTTCAGTACTGTGGGCTCAGGTATCTTTTCTCCTTGAC